AGTTGTTGTTTCACTCTACAGATGAAGAGGAGGAGCCTAAGAGTCTTTGATATTGAAGGTATCACTCATTATTACAGTCTGGAAGATACTGTATTAAATAATGTGGCTATAATGTGAATGAGAAATAGGGACTTACAATCTAGATGGGGTGAAGCGTACACCAATAACCCAGCTGTTTTCCTGTGAGGAAAGTGACAAGACTGTGACAAAGAATCACTATAGGATATAGGATACCATACTGAAGGCACAGAGGGGAGTTGTATGTATTCTGACTTGACCATCAGAACCATCTGGAGACCATTAAAACTCTTGACTTCTAGACACTACTCCTATAGAGTCTGTGTAGTAAGTCTAGGGTGGGCCTGACAAGTTACATTTGTAGAAAGTTCCTAGTGGTGCATATATGATCAAAGGAAAATCCTGTTACATAGAATAAACCTCTGACATAAGTGACTTCATTCAAGGGAATGGATGTCTGTTGAGGTTTTAATGTGCTACATGGCTTGCATTAGGTTATTTGCACATAACACCTTATTTAGATTTCACAACAGTTCTGAATTCTATGTTATTACTAATACTATACAGTAAGCCAATTAAGGCTCAGGAAGGGAAATTGATGTTTGTTAAAAATTCACAATGTGCCATAAAGGTTGTCAAGTATTATCTAATTTACAACCCCATGAATTCTATATTATTAGTATTCCCAGTTTACAGATGGCAAAAATGAGTCTTAGAGAGATTGAGTGGAGAATCATAGATCTGGGAAACAATCTGAGAAGTGATACTGCATCCTGTACCATCTATCTGCTGAAAGCTAATAGTGTACATTCCAAAAGCATATTTTCTTTAATGCCTGAGGCATGGATTGCCTACCCATGCATTTGCTCTTTCTGCCTTCCCTCTCCGTCACCTGAGCATCCTCCAAATCTCAGCAAAAGTTTTGTGTCAACCATGCAGATTTCTACAGCATCCCCTTCTTACTCCAACTAAAGCAGAAATAATGACTACTTCATAGGTGTCCCAATACACTTTAAATCAATGAATTCCATGGCACACCCCTAAATCTTCTGATGTCTTGTCATAAGTCACAGAAAAAAATATCTAAATTTTTCATCTTAGCCATCAAAACCACCCACCATCTGGCCCCACATGCCTTTTAACTACATCTTGAAGCTATGTTCATTCTCCAACTAAAGGAGACCACCACACACTCTTCTCCATCCACAGTGTTCCTCTCCTCCCTCCAAGCCTTATTACTAACACTGTTCCTCCCAAGAATGACCTCAGTGTATCTACATGGGGCCTCCCCTCAAGCCATGGAAATCCAGGTTCTGTGTCCTCATCCTTCTAGCATTTGACAAGGGCTCAGCATATGTAGAATGAATGTCTATCCCCTTGCTCCACTGTGCCATCACTTCCTCCCTTGGCTGAGGCAGTATTTGTCAGATCTTCCTTCCCAGGCTGAGAACTCACTCAGTACAACACTTGCAGTGTGGGCCAGTGCCTTGCTCCGAGTCAGTGCTCAAAACTGTTTGTTGAATGAATGGATACAAGGTGCTGAACAAAGGTGGTGCCTATAAAGGCAGGATCAGAGAAGTGACTAAGCTAGAGACACATGGATGCTCCGTACATCTTGGACTAAGACACAGGAGCACATTTAAATGAAGAGCAATGAAACCTGGGGCAGTTAGACTACTTCACCTGGAGCATGCTTGATTCCATTCTTTAACCTAGTCTTCCAAGGACTCAAAAGCTTTTCTCCACATGAAATACAAAAGTCTTATGGGAATCCCACATTTTTGTAACATACAACATTATTACAGAGAACAAGCATGCTAGGAGTCCTCCAGAACCATGTCACCAGCAACTTCCAGACACTGCTTGAGTAATGGGTCAATACCAATAGCCAGTGCAGATTCTAAGAGCAGGTTTTCTTTGGCATCTGTGAGCAAAGCATGTGATATAATTAACATTTATCTCTGTTGGTTTGCTGATGCCCCTGCAATGCTGTCTAGAGGTTTTTAAAAAAAAAATGGTAAAAGATCTGCTATTTTCCAAACAAGGCAAAGTTAACAATAGTGATTGTGAATGTCTTCGTTTAAATTGTACATATGGAACATTAATAGAGACTACGCACCATTAATTGAAAGAGTTGTAGAAGCTACTTTGCAAAAGCTTAGAGGGACAGTTGATGTATATATTTTGTATTCTTTAAAACAAAATGACATCTTTCATCTTTTCCTTGACATACAGAGTAACAATAGAACCTCTTAGGGCCAGCATCAAAGAAACTGGCACATGAAGTAGGCAAGACAGTCTTCAGTCATACTAGCCGCTGTTCTGTGTTTTATCTACATCACTTGCATCCCTCCCCTTTGGGCTAGATGCCTACCTGGCCTCTTCTCCCAGTCAACTAATCTACTCTTAGGAAACATTCTATGCTTTCTTCAAATTGAAGTATGAATGCTTTAAGGGAATTTAAAGATTTTTCTACTGTGTATTCTTACATTTATCAGGGATCAAAGTCTTGAGCTATTGTAACAAACTCTGAGTGAATTTTAAACCTAAAGTATAATTAGGAGTTGTATTGCCTCCATTCCATAAAAGACCATCATCTCTTTCATACAAGGGAACAACCATGCACATCTAAATGAAAGATAATTTTGAAAAGTCATTTTCTTATTGAAGTAGTCTTTACTGTTTCTGTCTAACTTCCCTTTATTTCCCCTTTTATCTGGGCCACCTCAACCCCACAAGCTGACTTTTCTCTTGGAATTCATTGAATTTATTTGTTGGGACTCTGGTTACATGTGACAAGAATCCCATTCAAACCATCTTAACAAAAGGGAGGAAAAAAGATTCATGTACCCAAAACACGAAATGCAAGGTTGCCCTGACTTTATGGTTTAATAAAGCATTATTAACATTATTAACATTTTAACACTCTCTTCACAATCACATTTCTATCTTCTCTGGTTCTGTTGCATTGGTCTCTTTATCTAACACTCTCCTCTATATTAAGGGATATAATATAGTCTTATAGTTCTCAATTTGAGGAGGGAAGAACATGCTTCAGTTTTCTTGTAAGTCAGATCAGAGGAGTCTGGGCAGATGGTGGTTGGCCAATTCAGATCACATGCTAACTTACTAGACCTAACATCCTGTCTCAATAGATGTGGCTTGGAAATTGTCATCTCTGGGACACTCCTTGAGAAACACATGAAGGGAGGGAATCCCTTGGGTCTTGTCTCTCTCAGCTTCTGTTTCTTCATCGATAAAATGAGAGATGTGAAAATGGCTCTAAAACTCTCTCAACTTTAACCTGGTTCTATTTAAAACTCACTTTCGGATTTTTGGTATTCTAATCACTTTATCTTTGTTTCTCTTACATATTCTGCCCCACCAAAAGGGCAAATAACACTATGAAAAAACAATTACCCCTTTGCCTCAACTCTGAAGCTCTCTAAAAAGAGAAAGGGGAACCCCTGTGGCCCCCATATAAGACACAAAATTTTGTAGTTCAGCCCTGACTAAATTCAACCACCTTTTATGCCACATGATATAAGATGGGCACAATTTCAAAATTTGTCACGCATTCCAAATTTAGCATTTTGCCTGAGTAAAAAAAGAAGCAGATCCTGTGGAAGGTCAACTGGAATTTTTCCTTTATGTCATTATTCTAGGGACAAAAACAATCCTTATATAATCGGTTCTGATTTAGAAATAGCAGAGGTTCAAAGTGGCTAATGTGTAGTGGAGTTCCAGATTATCTATTTCCACATCAGTGAACACGCATTCTTCCTCTAAAACCACATCCAGTGTCATCTTCAATGAAATGCCTCCCACCTGCCAACAAAATCCATCAGTCTTTATCATTTCCACACTTCCATTGTGATGACCTTGGACTATGCCCACATCTCTCATTAAACCTTTAGCTCACAGAGGGTATACCTTATTCATACTTGCCAACACCAAGTCTATGACATATCCACCATCCTGGGCTACTTGGTCTCTTAGGATTCAGCTAGATATGTGTGCTCTAGGTAAGTCATCCATCCTTCCTCAATTCCTTTATCTTTAACACAGTGGTCATATATACCTACCCTACTGTATTGGAAGGAAGATTAAATGAGGGGATGTACAACAAAGAATTCAACATATGACATGCACAATTTCATCTCATTTTTAAGATCCCAAAGAATGCCAAGAAGGGGATGTGCTATAGTAGAATATTTACAATTGTGAGATCAAATTCCAGCTCAGCCACATACCATCCAACTGTATGACTTTGGACTAGCTTCATAATGTTTGAAAGTCTCAGTTTCTTTATATATAAAGTGGAAATGATCGTAATATCTACCTTATAGATCTGAGTGGATAAAGAGAGAGGACATATACATAACACACCTGATACATAATAACAAAAAAAAAGTTGTGCTTGTTATTATCTGTGATGGACAAGGAAAAGAGAAAGAGCACTAGCAAGAGTATAAGCCCCAGGCTAGGCATGGTGGTTCATGCCTGTAATCCTATCTACTAAGGAGGTGGAGGCAGGAAGATCAAGAGTTTGAGACCAGATTGGGCAAAGGTAGCAAGTCTTGTCTCAAAAACAAAAGGGCTGGGCTGTAGCTCAACTGGTAGAACATTTGCCTAGCATGTGCTTGTCCCTGGGTTCAATCTCCAGTAATGCACACACACACCAAAAAAAAAAAAATGATTACAAGTCCCCCTGTGTGTTCTCTGGTGTTTTTTGCTTTATGTATACTGATGAAGATGAATCCATATTAATAGAGGCAATTGTTAATTGCCTTCTTGTGAGCTAGACCTGTCCTGATGCAGCAAATTACCATATTCTTTTTTTCCTGAGGTTTCAATGGGATATGCCTGTTCTAATTTAATAAACCTCTTTGTTTAGTGCCTGACTCAAAGAAGCAGGAGCACATTCACATTTACAAATGCATAATCTGTATGAACACTCAGGCCTTTACAGAAAGAGGTCTGGGAGGTGTGGGTATCTGCGAACATTCATTTGAACTGGTGCCAACCAAACTTCCGCAGTTAATTTTGTCTCAGCAGTTTTCTCCTAAAAGAAATTATTAATATGCAGGCTTCTAGCTGCTGTTTAGCCTTTATTCATTTCTGATTCTTGAGTTTGCATTGTTTACAGTGTTGTTTTCAACAGCAGTCACATAATGTACAGAGCAAATGGAGCACCCCTCCCTCCCAAGCCTATTCCAATATAGACCATTTCTTTCTTTGTGGCTCCATTAATACAAGAGAAAATGGAAGTGCACATAATGGCAGTTTACCCTTTGGAAAAGCACACTCAAGCGGGAGCTGAGCATGCATGAAGGACTAGGAAGGCAAAGAGCTGTGAACTCTGGAGGCCTTTTCTGAACAGGAAAGGTCAGCCCCCAAGAAAATAATGGTCTTCTTTTCATCGACAGGTAATGCAGGTGGTGAAGGAGCAGGTTATGAGAGCACTTACAACCAAGCCTAGCTCCCTGGACCAGTTCAAGAGCAAACTGCAGAACTTGAGCTACACCGAGATCCTGAAAATCCGCCAGTCTGAGAGGATGAACCAGGAAGATTTCCAGTCTCGCCCAATTTTGTAAGTTACCCACTTCTGACCTCCGTCTCCCTAAAGGCTCTGACACACCATTTCTAGAATGAACAAGGGCTGGGCCAGGTGGGCTGAGCAGGGTGAGGTGGGGGCCAGGTGCTGGCAGAATGGATCTAAACCAAGAACTTAACCAGTCACTGACAGTCCTCTAGAGCTATGTAGCTAAAAAGTTCTGGACCATTTCCAACACATGAAGCAATTTGTTTTTGCACATGAAACTGTATTTTGTGTCAGTGCTTTTTGAGAAGCATGATGCTTTGATCCAACCAGAATGAAACTCACAGATCATTAAAGCAATATTACCCCCAGCATAGCATAAATGCAAGTGAGTGGAGAGACATCTTGCAAGAAAAAGGCAGACCCACTCCTGCATTTGGCCGTGCCTGGCATTAGAGCATCTTGTATTGCCTTTGTGACTGTAAACTTGTAGTTCCCAGGGGAAGGCAGCAGGTCCCCTTTTTATAGGACTTTCTATCAAATGTCACTTGCAACCAGAACAAAATTTTATATATTTCCATCTTTAAAATGGTCTGAACCTGAACCTGAGAGCAGTTTTCCTTGGTTCAGCCCTCCTTAGAATTGGCCTATTTACCCTTCAGTGTCCTTTTCTAAGAGCAGTTAGTTTTGCTACCCCTCCACTTTATGGAGAAGGAAATCAGGGAAAGATGGGAAGTAGGAAGAGTGTTTTGACACTTACTCTGTCTGTGGAACACTAGACACAGCTTCTTCTGAATTTCCATGTGAAGCCAGCGTGTAACCTAGGTATAATTCTGAAGCCACTTCAGCATGCTGTCACCTTTTCTGCTTCTGGCTCTTTCTCTTTCTGCCCCTCTGTCTTGCTTTTCTGTTTCCTGCTCTCATGTGTTTATTGCTTTTAATATGTAGCAATATGCAAAGCACCTTCATGCTATTTCATTTCCTTACACCCCTAGGAATGAGCAACTCTTACTCCCACTCAATGACTCAAAGTCCAGAATACAGTCTTTAGGAAGTGAGGGCCCTACTACCAGGTGGAGGAGCTGGGCTTGGAACTGAGTCTGCTGATCCTTAGGCTATTGCTTCTTCCACTCCATCAGAGCTTCTCTGTATGTACAAGACTGAAATTAATTCAGGAAAGTACATGGGTCTGAGAAAACGATAGCGAAGCAGTAACATCTACTGTTCATTTGTTTTTAATCTTAAGAAGTACTATTAAAAACCATGGAGAAAAACTGTAGACTTTAGAAAACATGAAGTTTGTCATCAGGGGACAGAAAACACTTTAAAGGTGCTTAGGCTGACATCTAAGTCACACCCTCACAGAGACCAGCCCTTACGAGAGGGTTTTGCCTTGGTCCTCAGCCAGAAGAGAATAGTCAGAAATCCAAACAGCAAGCACTCAAGATACCTGAGTGACTCCTAGGACATGGAGTTTCTCACCTGCAAAGGAGAGGCTATGGTGCCGTTCTGACCAGGGTCTACATTCCCCAAATCCTGCATTTTATGTCTTCCAGCAGATGTACAAGCACAGGGACACTTACGCTTTTGACAGCTATTCTTAAAATGTAAAGGAAGACTTCAGGAATCACTTCCACGAAGGCCAAATGATTCTAAATTAATATTGCTTCAGTTAAAGCCAAGTGATTCTAAGTTAATGTTTGACCATGACTTTGTTCAAGGAAGGATATCAGCTGCATATCCAGAATGAACATTTTGCTCCTGCTCTGCCTCTGTATCTTCACTTCCAAGGCTCTGCCTGTCACATTCTGAATGTTTCTTATAACAATGAAAAGCTCCTATCTTTTCATTTACTAGGTAAGGAGAAGCAAAGCAAATAGTAAAGAAACCTCCTGTGTGGATATGACTTTTGCATTGTCACTCGACCATGATGCTAGAAAGCACCATGGCCCCTCTGGAGTCCCTGGTAGATATAGCTGCAGTAAAGTCTGAAGAGGTGTTAGAAGCTGCAGCATTTAAGTGGGAAGACCAGGGACCAGCCTGATCATTATCACAGTCTCTGAACCCAGGAAGTGGAAGCCAGGATATGTTTTGTCTGTTAGAGTGAACCATTCTTCAGTGATGTGTTTTGTCTACTGCAGTGATCTGCTAGATGGGAACCCATTGTGGGGTTGGATGAAGTCTAAGAACAGCCAACATGGCTTATACAATAAACCCAAGTCACCTAAGAGAAAGAGGGAGATCATGTATGCCTGCTTTCATTTATACATTTATTCATTTAACAAACATGGTTTGAGCAAATGCTCCATACCAGCCTCTGCTCAAGGTGCTGAGGATAGGCAGAAACGCAGGTCTTGGCACCCCACTGGGGGGCTGTTAATCATAGACTGCTCAGTGCCAGGTTATAGGAGGCACAGGTGAGTTGCCACAAAGCACACAGGAGGTGCTTATATCCCAAGTGTGGGGGTTATGATAATGGAATTTTTGAGCTGAAAGCAACTTGGCTGGAGACTGACCTCCAGTGTGGGATTCCACTGACCGTCAGGCCAGCTCTACAGCCTCTTAACCCCCATAGCACTGTCCCCTTGCATGGCTGTCTGTGTGCCACACACAGCACAGCAGCAAACTTCAGACTCCATCAGCCACAACCACACATCTCATCCTGAAAAAATTGGTTGTGCATCTTAAGAAGAAAAAATGTAAACTCCATTTGAACAAATATTTGGGGAATATATGTCCAGTGAGTAGAAGAAACAGCTCTGTTTTGTTTGTTAGTTCTTGATTAATGATTTGAAAGAAGAAATATTTTTTATTTCCTACTTAGTATGACTGAACAAGGAAGATAAGTCCATTCACACAATTAGTCCAAAGTAATGGACATAAAAGCTTAAATAGTCTGCAAATGGGCAATTTAATACTGAATTGGAGAAAGAGAAAATGTAATGAAAAACAGCAGTAAAACAATAAGACAAAATGTGTTGAAACCTGGACCAGGGTAGCTATCAGACCCAGATCAGATTTCAGTACTACCATTTTCAAATGTGTCTCTTTTGGAAAATTATATAACCTGTTCTAAGCCTTGTTTTCTCGTCTCTAAAAGTGAAGCTGATAAAGCGTCTACATCAGTGGACTATTATGAGGATTCAGCAAAGTAGTGTATGAAAATCATCTAGCATGTGCTTAGCACATAATGTCTACACAAGGAAATTGTCACTTTTATTTTCAAAAACAGAATTTAACAAGTCCTGATATTATCAATATATAAATAATAAAACTGATACTGTGAGTGTACTTGTGCACTTGAGAGTCTAGTTTTAAAGATAGTTAGAATGGATGTCTCGGATGAGGATGGTGAGTTTATTTATTTATTTTTGAGTACTGAGATTTGAACTCAGGGCCTACACCTGGAGCCACTCCACCAGCCCTTTTTGTGATGAGTTTCTTCGATATAGGGTCTCATGACCTGTTTTCCCATGCTGGCTTCAAACCATGATCTTCCTGATCTCAGCCTCCTTGGTAGCTAGGATTATAGGTGTGAGCCATTGGTATCTGGCAGGATGGTGACTTTGGAAGAAAGTTCTGTAAGGGATTGGGGTAGCAGGCTATTTAGAAGAAGGGCATTCCGTGCAGAGAGAGCCACCAGTGTCAGGGCCTTGGGGTCAGAATAGATCTGAGTGTTCAGGGAATAGTGAGGTCAGTGTGTCTGTATTAGAATACTCAAGGGGGAAAGCAATAAGAGGTGAATCTAGTGAAGGTCGCTGCCTTAATGGCAGCCATTGGGAAGTTTTGAACACAAGACTGACTTGGTGTTCTCTGTAAGGAGGTAAAATTGGAAGCAGGGAGATCAGTTAGGAAGCTATTTCAATAATCTAAGCAAAAGGGTGGTAAGAAGTAAATAGTCTCCACTCTAAATTAGATATATTTAAAGAGAAGAGACACTGGTGTTTCCGGGCTGATTAGATGTAAGAGAAGAGAGACGAGAGTCAAGGATGAGCTCGAGGCTGAGGGTCTGAACAACTGAACAGAATGAGTAGAGCGGATTCAGACAAGGGGATCAGGAAGTAGTTCAGCGAAGCTATGAGACACCCAAGTAGGCAACCAGACCAATGAGCTTAGAGTTCAACTGAGAGAACTAGACTGGAAATATAAATTTGAAAGTTGTCAGCATAAAATTGACATTTAAATCTATGAGTCTGTAAAATAAGCAAAAGAAAAGATTCGGGGATTAAGCCCCCAGTCCCTCCAGTGTTGACACAAAACAGATCAATTTCCTTGAAATTGACAATGTCACTGAGCCCAAGGTCTCTTCAGAGCTTTTCCAGATCTGAGATCCACAAACTATACCTCTTGGGCCAAATCTGATCACTACTAGTTTTTGTAAGTAAAGTTTTACTAGAATACAACTATACTCATTTATCTATTGGCATATGGCTCACAACGCCTAAAGAATTTACTATCTGATGTCTTACAAAAAAATAGTTTTCCAACCCCCCTGTTCTGGATGAACACAGGGTAGTAGCTCAGCAGAGCAGACCCCCGTTGCAGAAGGAATCTGGCAGGCTAATAGGGCTGTCCATCTTCTGTGCATTTCACTGACCTACTTGGGCCTGGACTTGAAACTCTTTTCCAGAAATGGTGCTAGATTTTGACTTGCTTTTCACTCCCTCTTTTATCCTGCCTCCTTTTTTATTTACAATTCCTTTGGTGGAATTAAAAGGACATTTATCAAAGCAAAGTCAGTGAACCCATGACCTCAGCCTCATTGACGACAGGCTAAGCATTTCAAAATCCAGTAACAACCCATGGTGTTATTACCTGGATTACCCCAGAGGTCAGGTCTCAGCCACAGAAGCATATCGCAGGGATTACTTAGGTTTGTAAGTAATTTCTGTGTGAAGTTTATAGCTACTGAGTCCATTTGCAAGAATGTGGAAGAAGTCAAATAGAGAAAGGAAAAGGCTGTCTCATTTCCCTTATCGCTCTGTCATGTTTTGAAGTTTGGGGTGGGGGACTCATAACAAAAAAGGGTAATTCTTATAGCAACAGATTGACTTCTGATATCGCATCCCCTGAAGACAGTTTCATAATGAAGTGTGTTGTGACCAGCATATCTGACTTTTACCCCAAAAAGTCATAAAACATCAGTCAAAATTATTTGGAATTTCCTCCTCTTGGTCCTTATCGCTGCATCTTCCTCTCTATTTTAATGACTCAACCCTCACCAAACAAAATTATTACTTAATGATGCATATACATCCAAAGAATTGATGAAATTCAAAAACTTTTTCTCTCATGTTCTCTTCACCCTCGGCTGCCATTTCTTCCTTTCTGCCCACTCACCTGGACTTGGAAGTCAGAGCAATGATTGGTTGCCCATGCAGCTCACCACCTTCTTCATTCAGTGCAAGGTTCATCAGTCTGCAGAGTCCATTTCATAAATGCTGAGTGCTGATAATAAAATGTTTTAGTGATCTGAAAACCTGAGCTGAGACCTTGAGAGACCTGTGCAGGGGAGGCTGTAGAAATGTTCCATGCTGTATTATTAAGGTGGCATTTCCATATTATGCTGTGTAGATGAAGCACTATCAAATGACAGGAGGCTTGAGGCCATTTAATCAGCCCTAAATGGAGGACTAGAATGTTGTGAGATGGCAAAGCTTTTTCTGCTTTGCTTATGTGTAAATAGAAGCAGCTTGCACAAGGAAGACTTGAGTCTGCCCTGTTGTACACTTGACCTTTGTAAGCTGTTTTCCCATCTGTAAGATGGAAATGATGATATCAATACTAAGTCTCAAAATTTGGAAATTTTGGAGGGTGCTTTGGGAAGTAATATTAAATGAGCTAAAACTGCAGGTGCCACCCGTCTCATAGCAGGTGTTTTTCAGCAATTAGTGCTATCTCCACCTGAGAATGGGGCACCAGGTGAGAATGAGTTACCTGCAGTCTAGTGCCAAGGCAAGTGCAGAGCTAAGGCTGAAGGTGATGAATATGTGAACCTGAACTGTAGTGTAATATGGTCATTTGGAATGTCTGGGCTGAAGAAAGGAGAGATTATCACCAAAGCAAGTTTAGTACTGCCTTCCATTCCTCCAAATGCTTATAGAAACTTATACTCACATTGCCTCTCTTGGGAGTCATGGCAGTTTCTCAGGAAAGATCTCAGTCCCATTGCACAGATAAGTAAACTAAGACTTAGATGAGCTACATGAAACATTAGTCATAGACACGCTGTGCAATGGAAGTCTAGTTTTCTGACTTCTAGATCTGTGGTCTAGCTAATACTTTTAATACTGCTTTGTGGGCTGAGCTCTGTGTCTCTCTGTTCAGCTTCAAAAAAGAACAACCCCTTACTTTACCAGACTCAAATGCGAGGATGCTACATAAAATTCCTATCTTAAAAATCACTTTAAAAAAGATTTGGAGACTATTGCACTCTATCGTGATATCTTTGTAGCACAGTGCATCTAAAACTAAATTACATCCTATTAGCCTGAGACAAGATGCAAATAATTTTTAACTTATCCTATCATTATCTCAGTCTCTAGGGGCCAGAATCTAGGACAGTGCTGTGGTTCTCATTTGTAAAAGAAGCAATAGAAAGCAAGAAGTGGTCCTATGGCTTGCCCAAGATATAGTTTGCATGACAAGAGTCACCCCATATTTCTATTTAGCCAGATCACAAATATAGTCTAGGTATTAACTTGCTATAGGGGGAAAAAATTAGGGGCCAAGAAATTTATTGCCTTTTATATTTTTACATAAGTTACAGCAATATTTTTGTAAAATGAGAGAAGAAATTTCTCAGGATACTTTGTTGTGGAAAAACAAAACTAAAGTGGCTGGTATTTTTGTAAATATTCTGTAAATATCAGAGACCTTGTACTGTTACTGTGAAAAATAACCCTAAGTCACAGACACTTAATAATTATTCTGTAAAGCACAACTTGGGAATTCCTGGAGTGTTCATAAAAGGATGTGGGTCACACTCCCCTGCCCATTCTGCCCATGATGCTCCCAACCAAGCAGTTTCTAAAGGCATACATGGACTCTGTGTTTATTCTCTAACAGGGAACTAAAGGAGAAGATCCAGCCAGAAATATTAGAACTGATCAAGCAGCAACGCCTGAACCGTCTCGTGGAAGGCACCTGCTTTAGAAAACTCAATGCCCGGCGGAGGCAAGGTATTGTTTGGGACTCTCCACACTTTGGGCAGGGTCAATAGTGGTCTGCTTCTGGGGGATCACATGCAGCACTGGCTTAGGACAGAAAGAGCAGTCTAGATGGTCCTGGCTGCCATGAAAACTTAGGGAGAACTAAAGTCCAGAATTATCAAAAGACTCGTAGAACAAAAGAGCCATTCTTTGCCTTTTAGGAACTCAGGACTGCTAGTGGTAGTGTCATTGACAGCCAACATGTATCGTGAGCCTACCATGTACCAGGTTTTTCTCCAAACATGTTATTTGCATGGTTACGTGCCATATAACATTTCAGTACAGTAAGATAAGATTGTATCATCCAGTGACATTGTGGCCGTATCAGTTTGTGTGTCAGTCCACTTATGATGTTTACACAATGATGAAATCACATAAAGATACATTTCTTAGAATATATCTTTATTGTTGAGTAATGTGTGTCGGTATTAATGCAATTCATCCCCACAATAACCCTATGAAGTACCTATTGTGGTTATGCTGCATTTATAGATCAGCAAAAAAGAGGGGCTACAGGGTTAAGTCTGTTGTCCAAAGTCATAGAAGAGCAAAGGATTAACCTCCACAGCTCCGTGACCTTGAATTGACCTGTGAATGACTCTCTACACTAGCAGGCAAGTGAGTACCCATTGTCAGGTTAGATCTTGGACCCTTCAACATGGTTGGCCCTTATTGTCAAATCTCCCATACTGAGTCTCTTCCAGTCAGAGTTATTTTATTTGGGAATATAAGTAATGGGAAAGGTGCGGTAGAATCAGTCTTCTAATTTTTTCAAGACAGATTTCTGAATTGTCTCCATAATTTCTAACCTCAAAATGTCAAATCAAAATGGTGCTGACAGACTAAATCCAATAGGTGGGAAGCTGTTTCTTTGCCTTCATTGTTTTCTTGCTCTCTTGACCTTCATAGTCAAATTATTCATATCATACTATCCTAGAAGCAAATAGCCAGAAAACAAAACTGAAAAATAAAGTGTGGGAAGAAGTTAAGAGATTGAAGAAGAGACAGAAAAAGGAAAAGGCATTAATAACTGGGCTAAGAACAAACATCAGTTGTAACCCAGGAGAAACTCTGACAGATAGTTTTGAAACCCCTTGGATGCCCTGCTCAGACACAAAGCTCCTCCACTAATGATAGCGATCATTATGCTTGTGCTGAGAGCATCTTCCCAGCCATTTCATTTAACTGCTCTGTGCTGCGTATTCAGTCATTGAAATATTTCAGTGTAACACGATTAACGTTAAAAATCTCGTTAAAGAACTTCCAAAGGCAGAACTTCCTAGAGGAATAAAAGTGCAGGTTATTCACAGAGGATGAGAAGACCTGACAGTGAGGCTTCATGCTGGGCTTTAGGAGAGGATAAGAGGCAGTGTAATAAAAGACTGGGTTACAGCTGGTAGGAAAGGCAATGGAAGAAGGAGCTCATCTCCCTTATTCAGCCATTGATGGTTGAGTTCACACCCTCCTTCCTCATTGCATTCTTTGCACTGGGCATTCTAAGGAAACAGGGTGCCACGATGGCGAAGGCAGACATCCTGGAACCAGATGTGTCTTGCCTCTACCCTTGTCTAGCTGTATGAACTTGCACAGTTTCTCATCAGATAAAAAATACCTAGGCAATCATGAAGGTAGCTCTCAGAAATCAGCACAAAAGGAAGTTACTGTTACTCTGGAAGATCATATAGGAAAAAAGCAGTGAGCTGAGAGCCAGCAGACTTGGTTCTAGACTCAGGTCTTCAATTAACCACCTGAGGGTGTTCAGGCACAACATCCTACTTTTCAAGGCCACAAGTTCCCATCTATAAAGTGGGAGGACAGCACTAGAGATGTGAGAGCTCAGTTAGGCAGATAGCCAACTGCATGCCCTGATTGCTTCACTGCCTTCAGGAAGGCCACTACTCAAGCTATATGGCTCCCATGAAGGTGACTTTTGATTTTTTTTTTTTATTTACTTGACATTGGGCAAAGAACACAAAAGTCTTAGTATGGGGGTGGCAAATGGACACATACCAACAAATGCTTCCACTGATCCCCAACTAAAACTACCTAATTCTTAAAACTAAATTTAACCTTCAAGTCTACTTCACTTTGAGACTTCCCTTTCTAGGGTGATATACGTAGATTCTATAATCCTGAATCCAGAATAATCCTGTTTCTAGACATAATAATTATAGCTTTTATTTAAAATTTTTTTAGCCCTTATCATAGATTTTTCCAACTTTCTAAGACATGAACTGCCTAGAGAACAAATAAATTAGCTTCTAGATGATAAATTTTTTAAATGTGCTCCCAAGGGAGCATGATCATCTGTGTTTAATGCAAGATCATTCTTCCACATGCAGTAAAGGAAAACTTTTTGGTATTCGGTAAGTGGGTTTGAAATCTGGTGAGTGGCCCTGTGCTTAAAATAGGGATTCAAAGCAGACTGTGCTGAAATTGGTTTCCTATCACCCCATCAAAACATTCCATTTAGATTTGCACAGATTAAAGAGGCTGTGGGATAAAATCAGTTTTAATCCATTCAAGAAAGATGTATTTGCAGAGAAGTCAGACTGGTATGGACACCTGCTGCCAGGTGCCATGACAGGTTATAGAGCAGATACACCCTGTGCAAGAGCCATGGCCATATCTTCCTGTGAGGAGGGCACAGATGAGTGGATTTAAGTAATTAACTTTATAGGAGGCAATGTGGAAGCTTCCAGGTCCAAAAAACTTGGAAAGTGGAGAAACAGAGTCCCTTCCTGTACCACATTTGGATAGAAGAGCTCCTGGTTGATATTTGCTTATCATTCTACTCATCTCATTCACCACTCTGCTATTAGGATAGTCTGATACAAATGGACAATTCTGGGCTTCTGGAAATTCTGGCCACATTAGAACTGGGAGACAGAAAATCATGTAATACACATTCAGCTGGGTTCAAGTCCCTGACTCCTCACTCCTGAGTAGGGCAACCTTGGCCAATCTGCTTATCAGTCTAGACTTCTTTCCTCTTCTGTTAAACAGGGATGATGCTAGTTTCTACATCAGATAGTTGCAAACATTTTTTAAAAATGTATATATTTAGCACTAACATGGTACTTGGCACACTACCAAACATTAACTAATGCTGTTTATTCTTAATTTTAGCTTGTAGTTCCTCAGAATATAGTTGTTAAACAAAAAAGCAGAGAAAGATTGGATATCACATATGTGATTCCCCCTTTCTGTCCTCACTACACACTGTCTTCACTACTCCCTTCCTTCTCTGTTCCCTGGACTCCTGTAGGGGAGAGTAAGGATGAAACCCCAGAGATTTGTCTGTGTTAAGGCCATTATTGCTTTATGAAAATCTGTAGTCTGCAAAACCAACTTGTACTCTCATATTTCAGAAACTAGGTCTTTCAGAATCACTTGCATTGAATGATCTTGAAAGAGCCCTGGGATAAACACTAGAAAGGTGATCCAGAAATGATCACATTGAGCTCAGTTCTTATTGCGGATACTGCAGCATTCCTTCTTTAAGCACTAGTATCACAAAATTATCCTGGAATTCAATGGTAGACAACACTTACCCACACACACACACACACACACACCTTGGATGAGGTATGTTTTCTCACTTCTGCCCACAGGGCCTGTGTATTTTGCATCACTCTTGTGGCCCAGAAACCTGAAGCCAAATAGGACATGTAGACACAGAAACCACATAAACCCTTCTGGGGAGAAGGGTCTATTTGTGATTGAAATTCCCTTTTAAAATTTCATTAAACCTAATCATAACTCATTTTAGTAAAAAGGTACTTTCCAACAGATTAAAACAGTAACCATTGTTTCTAAATTGCTGGAGGGACAGATAGTGTCAGTGACAGGGGCCACCACTGACTTCAAGGGTTGGAAAGCATGAGTATTTATTGAGAACTAGCACTGTGGAAGATGTGTGATCGAGACTTTACATATGTTTTACTTTACAAATGAAGAACAAGTATATATAAGTTTTTATAATTTTGCCGAAGCCACACAGCCAAGTGTCAGGACCAGATGTGTAAGCTAGACCTGGGTGACTCCCAGGCATCTGTTAGGCCAAGTCATCTTTAAGCATATTTTGGAGGCTGAAGTCTTGTGTGTTATGAAAAGACACAGCTGTCTCTAGGGAGGCAGAATTCTGAATCAAAACTTAAGTCTCTAGTTTTGAAGAGCATCCAGTGAAGTGAGAAAAATTTTAAAGGCCAAATGACCTTCCTCTGTACCTATACTTCTTTCCTTTCACTAAACCAAAAGAGAAATCATGGATCTAATCACCTAGAAAATGTCATTTCTCTTTAATGGCATTTCTGAGGCTCTCCTGTTTTGTGAATTGGAAAGATTCAATCTTAGAAAGGAAGTAGACCTTCTAGATAGACACACTGAAGATCTGGCACATTTCAGGTCAAGGAAGGACAAATGCAAAATTGTAATGAAAAAGTGACTAGAGAACGTAGTTTAGTAAAAGCTTCCCTGCCTCCCTACCTCAGGATTCTCAGCAGCAGACTGTGAATTCTACACCCAAGACAAGGTGTCCCCTCTTCCACAGCAGAGTCTATCAGATTCAATTCTCTGTTGAGTCCTAGGCCTCAGGGAACATCCTACATTTCATACTCACCAATAGTAGCTATTACTCAGCATGTCAGTCTCATATAGACCCAGTGGACAACTATGTATGGCTAAGTTAATTGAAATGAAAGAAAATTTTTAAATTGTTTCTTTGTTATTGGGTAAAGCAAATATAGAGTAGTTCCATCACTGCATAAAGTTCTATGAACAGTACTGCAAGAATTCCAGTTGTCAGTGGTTATTAGCACCATAGTAGTCCATGTGACACTGGGAATAGCTTTCATCAGCCTTTTGAGCTTTGAAACCAGCTTTCCCTCTGATCCTTCACACACACACATACACACACACACACACACACACAAGTTGAAGCACAAAATTGCTTCATACTTTTAAGTTTGGTAATGAAGAGATGCCTATTAACATACTTTCATTTGTAAGTGGCTAGAAGACCTCCATATTATCTTTATTTCCTCCTTAAATGCTAGTAAACAATCTTTGATAATGTTCTCATTGCTACTTGCTAATTGCTTTTAGTGACGAAATCTACTCTTTTCATTGCCCTGAGGGAATGAAGAACTAGTAACATCATGCTGGGTTTTGAAAGGAAAATACGCATTTTTCTTAACATAAAAGAAACTGCAACTCAAGCTGCTGGTGGTGGTTGACACTGAAATGCTCTTCTTCATGTGCTTTGCTGGTGGAAGCTGCAGTTCAACTCTCCCTCATAGCAGCCTTAGAGGTAGAAATACACATCTTATGATAAACCTTCCAAAGCTAAGGACTCTAGCTTCTGCCTGAGGAAGATATAGGTGAGCATCTTGCCACATGATTACGAGTCAAGACAATTTTCTCTGCCTTTTTAGCCCCCTTTTCCAAGACTTCCCGTTTCATGAGGAAGAACTGAATACATCACTTACATCAGTGATGCATGGAACTTTTTGTTCTTTATCATTTTGGTAGTGGTCAGAGAAAAAGGAACCTGTACAGGGTAAGAAGAATTAGCCAGAGGTAGGAGGAAAACCAGGAAGGGAAGGCAATGTCAGATAAATCAAGGGAATTTAAACTTCAGGAGGGAGGAAGTTCCATCAGCTGTCCACCAGCTAGTCAAGGCAGAATTCCACATAGCCTTTTGTGTTTCTTTTAAATAAACATCCATGGCAATTCTGCAAGGAGCATGGTGGCTTTGCCTCCTAGAGTCCTAACAAGTAGCCATTATCTAATAGTTTATGAACATAAGAAAATGTGACACGAGAGACCTACCATGTGACTTTTCTTCCCTATAACATAGCCAAGTTCCTGCTTTGTCTTTGTCCCTATCTCCCAGACCTGGGAAACAAATATTTCTGCCTTCTTTCTCTTAGCCTCCATTACAAACTGAGGAGCTCCTCTTCCTTGGGCTCCTGACTTTCTCCTCTTGTGTGTGCTATTCATTCTAATGATTTCTTGCTCCTCCCAAAGGCATGCAGAATGCTGTGTGTATTGCAGACACACTGCAAATATTTGTTGGATAAATAAGCCTATTATGAAAGTGTAAGCAGCAAAATATTTTGAAGTCTCACAAATGAGTATGTCTTATAGATGAATATAATTTGTGCAATTTACTCCATGTTTGTTTTAATCTGCATACCAGTTCAATTTCTTAATTCCGCCTTTCAAAAGTATAATTGATCTTTGATTGTGCCATATTGACTTTTGGTTTCACATAACACCACTAACTCATCAAGCTTATCCCAACTTAAGAAGACAGCATGTCTATGAAGAACAGACTGAGACCCTATTGAACCTAAGATCAGCATGTCCCAGTGTCACATCTCACTTTCCATCTTTGTGTCACCCTTCAGCCACTCTCAGCCCAAAAGTCCACCTCAGAGGTAACAGAGGAAGGAAAGGTGTATAGAAAATTGTGTCATCATGGACCATGTAGATGAGATGACCATGTAGACCTTGTGTGGAAAAGAAACCACCACAGCCTGTTGGGCCTCCAGCAGCAACTTGGATGTTCAAAAAAACATGGCATTCGACTCTGGAACTCACAATTCCTATTGTAATTTCAAGTCAAATTCCCAAATGTATTCTCCTCGTAGAAAACCAGTAATTTCACATCTGCCTGATTAAAATGGCTGTGAATTACTCAGGAAACAATTTCTCTTTTCTCCCTTTGAAGTGCTTTCCCAGAAAAATGACCCATGTTGGTATATGTATAACATAATTTTGAAAATGTAGCAACTCCATATGCCTTCATATCTATCCAATGACCTTTTCACTCCCTCTCGAGTTTTTCCACCAGAGTTCAGATTCTTTAATACATGAATATTGCCACATTCTGGCTATACTCAGGAATTCTCAAACCCTGTTTATAAACTAGGAAGAAAAGAATCACAGAGGTACTTTCCTTTTGTTAGTCAAATTTGGCCATTTTCTGGGTTCATTTTGTGGCTTTGACTTTCATTCAAAGTTTATTGTCTTTTAAAAGCATTAAAGTTAAAATGATTTTACAGTGAATACAATTTTAGATCAAAAACCACTTTTAAAATGTAATAAAGAGTTTTCTAGTCCTGGTTGTTTCAAACCAATTTGGGACTGCAGGCACGGTAATGAGGTGACTTGGGCAAGACCATAGAATGAGCCAGCTGCATAAAGGTACAGTGGGCAGGTAGGTAATGGGTGTTGTATGCCGTAGGTGTTTTAAGCAAATTCTCTTGGGTCTCCGCTTATCAATTTAGCCAACACCAACTGTGCAAGTTTTTTGTACCAAGGGATTGTATCAAGGGATTGGGACATTGTTACAAAGACAGTGGCTGTCAGGAAAGAGACCTGGATTTTGGCACACTGTTGGGGCCAGTGGGTATCCTGGAGTCTCTTCTCCCATTAGTTATTGTTCACATACACCCAAGAGGGCAAGTTGCTTCCACACACACCCACTAGGGCAAGTTGTTTCCCTAGGGTCTATGGCAGATAGAGGAGAATGCTAAAGTGGTTATCAAATGGGCACCAGTAACACTGGTCCAAATTATATTGGTGCAAAGAAGATGCTGGAGCAGGTGAGAGGATGAGAAAGGACCCTTTCACTGCAGTGCTCAAAGAGGGCTTTCTGGAGGAGGCAGCATTTAAGCTGAGCTTTTATAGCTGCACAAGCATTGCTGTCAAGTTCAAGTTCCTTATCTGTAAGTCTGTAGATCTAGAAGATGTGCTCTTTGACTCTTCTCTGTCTCATAGGGAAACAGGGAAATTTATTCAAAATTTTCTATGACATCTGGGGGCAGTGAGAGTATTTATAAGAATCCTAAGCCTTGACCATGTCCATTCAAGAGAACTAAAGAAATTAGAGAGGTGAATTGTTGTGAATAGCTTCATTTTTTAATAAATTCCTGCACTAGTTAGATGATCCCCCGCCATGGATCCCACCCATGTATATTCTTAGTACCTATCAATCCATTCACCAGTCCTTTGTGTGCTCATTGGTGGGGAAGGTTTGTGTCAGCTAATACGTATGGCCTTGTACCCAGTCATCTCTTCAGGCTGACAATCTCAGAGAGAAAAGTGAAAGCAGGCAAGTTCTAAGAAAACTATTTCTTCTTTATCTCCCTCCCACCTTGTCAGGCCTACATGGATAAGAAATAGTCCTCTTGGTAGTTACAGATACAGGTAAAGTACCCTTTGGAAACCACCTCAGCAAAGTTTTTTGCCATGAAACTTGAAGGATTCAGTGGCATTCCCAATGGGTATCAAATGTACACAGATCAGGACAGGTGATACCTAAATATCAACATCACAAGGGGGCTTATTACCCAGAACACTGAAATTCATTCTTTCTCAAGAATTAATACCAAATGAACTATTGTCCCTCTAAGCAAAAATATTAGGAAATAACCATACTGGCATTTTTTGGGTAACAGCATCTCTTACTTTGTAAACTTCTGTTTTGCTCCTCAGACAAGTTTTGGTATTGTCGGCTTTCACCAAATCACAAGGTCCTGCATTATGGAGACTTGGAAGAAAGCCCTCAGGGAGAAGTGCCCCATGATTCCTTGCAAGACAAACGTAAGTGACTCCTTCTGTAAGATACTCAAGGTTTGGTCGATCAGTTGTCTCTTAGTCACAATGTATTGTGCAGCAAAATTATCAGCCTAAATGAACACTTTGAGCTTGGCTCACCTTGTAAGTATCAGCCTGAGCATCAAGTGCAAGACCTTGATGGCTTTGAGGTTGGGATGGAACGGAGAAGAATTTAAAAGGGTGCTCACTTTGGAAGGTGTCCACTTTGGAAATTTTTTATCCAGATGTTATTTTGAGGAAGCAAAACAATGTGATCCTAAATTTAAAAATTATATTTTTCATAATCCCAAATAATTTCACATAAAGTACATGCTCCACCTCTACCATACTTACTCGTTGTAGTTTAACGTATCCTATAAGGACAATGCAGAGTTAATGAAAAACTCAAACACGATTAACCTACATCAAAGAAGTAACTCAGATATTTTGAAAATGTATGATCAATAGCATTCTATCACTTGCTAAGTATTTCCCACAATATGTATTATTTGTATTTATTTGCTGTTTTCTGTTATCTGTTTTAACATGTATGCTTTTGAAGAGGTTGTAGTAATATGCAATATTCTGTTACCCCCAACACCAAACCAGATACCAAATGCCAGGTTCAATGGTGAGTGTACAAATCAAACAAAGAATTATAGAAACACTGAAAAACACAAGGGTGATGAGTTAATTTGGAAGAGAAATGAGATAAAGAGAACATTGCTTGAAGGATGGCCCAGAGAGAGATCAAAGATGGAGTAAATAGTCAGGACACTTTTAACCTTTAAAAGTCACATTGACCTTACAATGTTCAGATAAGCATGTCCCAGACTGTGTCTTTGTGCTTCCTACCACTCTGCCATCTCATTCTGTCATCCAGGGCCAGTCGCAGTCAAATCTGAACTGTCTTCCTTCCAACACAGGGGCCATCAAAGGCACAAATAAACCATGAGTGGGAAACTTCCTGACAGACACCTCAGGCAGACAGCCTAGAACATTCTCTCTCCTAAAAAATGGGACAATCTGGTCTTTGTAGTGTCATGTAGTTCGTTTCCTTCCACAGGAGAGCTGCCTTCCCAGCCCACAGTATCGGCTCCTACAGCAGGAGGAGGTCTGAAATTCACTGCTACAGAGTCTGGGGGAAGCCTGTGCATCCCTGCCATGGGGGTCCTAGAGAGGACCCTCTGCTCAGAGTTCAGGAAGCCAGACCAGTGCTTCTCTAAGTGTGGTCCCCAGACTATCAGCAGTGCCACCTGGGAAATTCCTAGAAATGCAAATTCACAAGCTGCCATCCACAGACCTAGTGAATCAGAAACTCTAGGAGTGGGTACCAGCAAACTCTGTTTTAACAGACCCTCCAGGTGACTCTGATGTCCCACTTAAGTTTGAGAACTGCTAAGCTAGATATTGCCTGATATTCCACGTAGTGATGCTCCAAAAGTGGCTTTCACCAATAAGTAAATTTTTAAGTGAATTGACAACTTTTAATTTTCTCAAAAAAGGATGTTAAAAAAGGAAATCTAACTAAAATTTAATATCACATTTTGTGATAAAAGAACCCTTATCATTAAAGTGGGTAAGAAAGATTTAATCTTCAAATAAAGAATGGTCCTTTCTGCTGAATTAAATTGACTTTATGAAACATGCACATCAGTGTCCTCATTTTCCTCCACTTGCTACAAATTGATGAAACACTCATGAACTAGGAACTGTCTGGGGTCCACAGCTTGGAATCACTGCTCAACAGCGGTTAAATGAAAAGCATTAGAGTTATGGTCAGTCAAGGCAACAACTGTCTAAGAATTCTCCCCAGTCCATTCTTCTCCTGGTCAAGAAATGGGGCAAGTGATCTCAACAGAAAAATCACAGATTGGTTCACTCCTACCCCATGTGGCTCTCTCTCCTACTCACTGGAGGTATAATTTATTCCCATAACTCTAGGGATATGATCTACTTCTTAACCCAAAGATAGGCATATGACCAGCAGTTTTACCAGGTGTAACATGAAGCACACCCCATTCTAGCTGGTACTTGCTTAGGAAATCGACATCCGTGCTCCTGAAGAAAGCTGTAGGACGTGGGTGGCGGAAGAGCCCTGGGTAAGAGCAACTTCTGGGCTTCCCCACAAGCTTACACATCCCCTGCCCCATCTAGGCCCTCACCTCCAAGATCCCAGCATTGAGATGACTGACCAGGAGTCAGAAGTTCTGATGTCAGGGATCGCTACCATGGCAGGGTGGTTGTGGAAGATCAAGGTCAGAGTTGTAAATCTCCAGTCTCTGCATGGTGTTCTGGGAGAGGGTTGTAGCAGTCCTTTCTGGCAGTGCCTCCAAAATTCTTATCCATCCCTGTCCTCTGCAGCCTTTGAAATCCAGTAATGCAGAACTCCAAAGAATGTTCCACAAACACTTTATCCTATTGCAAGATAGGCCAAGAATGCTTAGTTGTGAGGCTATGTGCATGTGGGAGGGTGTGTGTGTGTGTGTGTGTGTGTGTGTGTGTGTGTGTGTGTGTGTGTAAGATTGTATCTGTCTGTGAGTGCTGAAGAAGGGGCTAAAGAAGAGAAATGAAGCTGTACAACACCTGAGAAGGCTGTGGCCCAGGAAATTGAAACTTGATGACAATATGCCACCTTGTTTGCATTCGCACAAAGTCTGCATTGTGTCTGGAGCAAAATAGCCATCCTCTTGGAACCCTTAAAAGCCAGGAACTGATCCACTAGAAAAATGAGACATTCTGTTAATTAATGATAAGAGCCAATTGTTCTTGCCAGGTATGATTGCCCTCTCTTGAGACCAAGGGGAAAATTGTCTTCCACTTCTTGAGTTAATCATGGATGAACAGTGAGATATTGATGAATCAAATAGTGTAATTGAAACCTCTTAATACAACCAATACTAGTGAAGGTTGAGGGCCTGTCTTTAGCTGTTTTCTTCCCTAAAGGTTTGGGAAAATCTCTCTTCTAATTCTTCTTATTTCCAGGAAATATGGCCCTGGAAAAATCCACATCGCCTTACATCCTGTCTTACCCTACTTCCTTCCCGCAGGAGTTTGCAGTCGGTCTTCACCCTCACTAAACACAGGCTCCATTGCTTTCCAAGCATGCTCCAGGCATGCTTCAAGGGGCTCCCTTTGAAAAAATCTGGGCCAGTGCTTCTCAGTCCCATATCAAAAGGACTAGGAGGAAAGCACAGACTGAAGCTCTCCGAGGAGATTAAGCCTGTTATGGCACATGGGGAGAGAGACCAACACAGCCAGCCAGTGTGAGAGATCTGGGTCACAGAAGCACAGTGAGGAGTTCAGGTCCCTCTATCTACATAGAGAATTAACTTTGATTATTGATAATGGGAATAATTGCAAATGACCTTTATTGAGTGCATAGGATATACCAGGCATTGTGCTAAGAGCTTTACACAAATTATCTTCTGTATGACCTGAAGAGGTATTAGCATCATCATATTACAGATAAGGAAACTAAAGTTAAGTAACTTGTTCAAGGTCACAAGGTCAGTAAATAATAGAGCAAAGATCTGAATGTAGCTATCCAACATCTTGTACTCACCTCTCTGTACTGCCTAGATGAAAAACTAAAATGATCTTGGCTGTGGCAGTAGGAGTTCATTTTCAGAACAACCTTGTAAGACAACACTGTAGTTCCACCTTGAAGGCCTGGGTACTTGAGGTCCAGAGTGGAAGCATAGTAGATGAATCTCAACCCTGGGTTTTTTTTTTT